GACTACAAAAGAAAATTCTCTTTGAGCACAGAACTCAGTCATCCAAGGAAAGAACTCTCATTTCTGCCAGCTGATCTTGAGACAGGGAAGTGCTCCAACATTACTAACATCATCCAGGCTTCTGGGAAGCAACTGCACTGGATCAGTTGAAGCAAAATAAGCATTGACCACCATAAGGCAATGACATTTAGTAAAGAAGAACCTCCAATATTCGTTTAGCATTTTCTTTCCTGTGGTCCACAAAAATTAAGAGGCAAACATGCCAACATTCTCATGTTGCACCAGCCAGTGTCACCACAGAGAGCAAGAAGCCCCTTGATGTTGCAACTGGCACAAAAATGCTTTGGATAATTTTGGCTTTCTGAGCAACTGAAGAAGCATGATCTGCACCAGTACTACTGCTACAAACACCAGTGCTACAACCAATCTGATATGCCAGCATCCCTAGGTAGCATGGCTGTTTTACAACAGGAAAGCTGTTCTGCATTCAGTTCCTGGAAGGAAACAGTCCACTGAAAGCAGTGGGCTTTGCAAGGCTTCTAAGGCCAGGCAGGCTGTTTTCCAAGCACCTAAATATTCCATTAGCCTACCTAAAAAGACTCTCAGAATATTCTACAGTGACACACTCTGAAGTGATGTTTATGTGCTATTTTGAATATATTAACAGGTAAAAAAGAAAAATCTTACACAAAAGATCTAATAATGACGCTTAAGAAACCATTGCTTTTTAATTCCATTAAACTAAACAAACATGGTTAAAGACAGACAACTATCTCCACTGACTTCATGCAAGATGTTACTGAATCCAGAAAGAGAGATCACTGAACAGTGACTCCTAGATAAAAATATCCATGGTAAATTAAGTCTGTTGTAGTTCATTCTCTCTTAAAAATAGGACGATCTTACATGATAAGGAAGAGTAAATACCTCTCCAGCCATTCACTTAACCTACAACAAATATCAAGGAATCGTTGAATTTAGGATTTTTGGTTTTGTTTTGTTTTTTTTTTCGTTACACAAAGCCTAATAAGGCAATTCTCGGGAAAAGAAGAAAGTGCATTTCCCAAATCAGACTGTGTAATTTGGCAGTTGCATTTTTTCTTCCCTTAGTGGAAAAAACAATACTCTTACCGTATGAAGTCACTTTGAAGGCATCCCAAATAAAGGGCTGAAGGCAGTCAGGACATTAATTTATCCTGAAGAAAGAAAAGACTACTTTATAAAAGAATGTAGACTGTAAAAACCATCCAAGAGGCAGTGGCTAAACCTTTCTTGGAATAGTTTCAACCAAGGAGAGAATGGACACCAACTAAATATTGCATAAGAGGTGATAGAGGCAAGCTCCACAAATGGAAAACTAACAAACCACTCAACTGCAGATGCTTTCCAAACCAAGGTTTTAAAGAAAGAAGAATTGTGTAACACTCGTGACTTTGAATCCTCCTTCATAAGGTTCTTTATAAAGTGCAACTAAATGAGAAGACAATCAAGTGATGTAACGGTTCTAGCGTTATCAGCTATTAGCTGACAGGTACAGAGGAGAGGATACAATGAGCGATTATACTGTAGGTTACTCCAAACAATCATGGAGTGCTACAACTCATACTGAAAACAATTCTTACAAGTTGGTTTTAGATTACATAGGAGGCAGAGATCAGGACGGGGAACAAGAAAGCCAAAATAAGAGCTTATCACAGATGGGAAAGTTGTATTGCCACTGCTGACTATGAAAGGCACCTAGGAGCAAGAAAGCAAGCACCACGTTGTTTAGCTGCTATTCATAATACCCATATAGCACTGCATTTATCCAGTTGCTTTTAGAGGTTCTGCAGAACTCCTGTGAGGAAGCGGAAATCCATGTTGCATGGTTAATTTATATCTTTGGAGAAAGAAAAAAAAGAAAACCCCCGAGACATAAAGCATTCTACAAAGGACCTTCAGAATGAAAGAACCGTTTGCGATGAAATGCAGAAACAGCCAAAACTGAACCGCAAACTTCTGTTTCATAAACACTTGCAGGAAATACTAAAATCCTTCTGTAACATACTTATCTTAAAACTAGCAGACAAACATTTTATAACCCATAATAATCCCGCTTAGATGTTTTCTGAAACACCACTGCACTGCCTCGGTAATCCGTAATCCCAACTATGAAAAATACTTTTCTCAAATGGATCTGCTAAGCCAAAAAACAACAGCCAACCAAACAGCACCTTTTTTTTTCTTTTCTTTAAAAACAGCTTTCCCATTACCTAGAACTTGTGGAGAAGCAGTTTCTGCTGGGTCCAGGGGAACTTCAGGTAACAGGCTGTTTATGCAGATTTGCTTTATTAGATCATTAGTAGACTATACTGATCCTACTCCTCTAGCCTGCCCACGGAGTGAAGAAGAGCATTTTGTCGTGCTGGAACAGAGGCCAGAAGTGTATGGAATGGGGTGGCACAGGGTGAGCTGACAGAGGCACTCAAGATGACACAAAGCAGCAATCAGCAGCCACTGCTAGGAATTGAACAGATCCAGTTCAAGCATTCCCACTGCAACTCCAGGTACTGATTTTTACTGAGACAACATACACCCTAATTAATTTAACTGGGGAGAATCATAAAATAGACAAAACCAAAGTAAATTCTCAACTATAATGCAACTAGAGTAAAAGTTCAGATTCTCTGAGAGCCTTAGTCACAGCAGCTATGCTAGCACAAGCACATCCAGAACTTGATGGCAGAGACAAAGCTTACACAGACAAAAGATGTTTTCCTGCTGACATGGCAGTCCCATCACTTCAAACAAACTTTGTTCTTTCCTTCAGAAGCAGTTCCTTTCAGCACAGTTTCCTTGACTGGTACGCATGGCCACAGATGGGCCTGCTCCACTGACCAGGAGGTGCATTTCTAATCCTAAAATCTTCTCATTTTCTTCCTACAGTTCTATAATCTATAATCTATGTGACTCTAATATCAACCTATAGAGCTGATTCTTGGAATACAGATGAGACTCAAACATCAGGGTATTTCATGAGATTCTTCTAAAAAGCTTCATAAAAAAGAATGCTCTCTCAGCTTTCTTCATGAGCTAAGGAGTTGTTACACCCATTTATGAACACCAAGGTTAAGTAAAAAAAGAAACTGATGAGCAACAGAGATTGTCCACTGTGATACTAGTTTATTTCCCAAGCCTTCTATGCAATTCACATGCCATATTTCAAGAGATCAGGAGGTGAATTTTACCTGCTGTTGCAGAAGCAAGTTTTTCTTCCTTTCTAAAAAACTGAAACGTAAAAAAGCAAGCACCTATCTGAAAGGTGAAGCTAAGTAGCAACTTAAACAGTTCAATAACTGAAAAATATCCCAAACTGTTAAAAGATACTGAGGGAAAAACTAAAGAACATGTATAACTTCTTATATTTTAAAGATACAAATGAATATTCAAGCAATACCTTCTGAACACTACCTTTCCAGTAAAAAGTGACATACAACAGTAACAATCTGAATACGTTTTCTGTTTTTGATGCATTAATTTGAGTACAAAGAAGGGGACAGAAGTTCATGCTCCAGGAACCTGTCCTGAGCAGCACTGCTAACAGATGAACCCAAGTCTGCCAAAAACATTTTAAAATTATAAATAGTTCTGGTCTCCCAGCACTAAGTTCTAGAAAGGCTTCTTTGCTTTGTTGCACCACTGTATACAACCTGAATGGCTGAAGTGCCTGTGTTTAATTCATGGAAAATACAGTAAAGTGGAAAAAAACCAGAAATCTGCACCCATCCAGGTCCTTCCACACTGATCTTACCACTGAAGCTCACAATACCAGCATTTTTTATTTCCCTTCTAAGAATACAGAATTTGCAATTCTTGAAGAAAACGAAAATCAGTTGAGACATTTCACTCAAAAGCAACAGGTTTATGGGTGAGAACTCTAATGACAAATTTTAGAAACTATTTCTAATAGTGATTTCAAAGAGGGAAAAAAATTTAAAACCACGAGGAGTTTATATTCTGGGGCTTGAGTGATCAAGTACGTTACTCACATCTGAATAATACTTACTGGGAAAATAAATGCAGCACAAACAGGAAGTTCAATTACAACTGAAATGTCTTTTCTGTATCTTTTTTTCCCCTTAGAAATAATATATAATGCTTTAGGGAAGCATGCTATTTCCACTTGTTACATTTGAAGAAAAGAATGTACATTAAAAACCCTAACTAGGAATCACTGGTCAACCACACTAAGCTACATTAAAGCTGGTACACATCCTTTCCAGAACAGTGACAACAGTGGAATGTTCAAAATGGCATTTATACCATCAGAAATGATTTACTTAACATTTATTTTTGAAATTCAAGATTACTGTCTGCACAGGAAACAAAGAAAGCAATCCTTTACAAGTCAGAATTCTGGAAGCCACACCCAGCAATATCATAGCATGAAGAATGATGAGCCAGAAACTGACAAAAATTCATTACTTCAGATGCTGCCACTGGATGCTGATGAGCAAGTCATTTTTGCTGCAGTGCTTTAAAAAGACAGCTATCCCATTCACTCTCCTGGGGGGTTAACATAACCATGGAAGTGCTTGAAGAAGGGAAAAGACATCAACACTTCTGCTGGTCAATAGAGTACTTTGCTGCTTAATACTCATCTAGCAGTGAGCTGAGTCACTTGCATGGATGGCTGCTGAAGCTCAAGCAGAGGCACTCTTGCCAATCCACCAATACAGCTGTGAGCGCCATAGCTTCTTAAATTGTCCAAGTAAAACTGAGCTGAATTTACTAATCACAGCACTTGAACAGATACTTCAATGTTGGCATAGGAAGCATAGGAACAGACAACGAAATAAGATTTTTGCTGCATCATTCTGAAAGTGGCTGATAATTACACACAGAAGTTAATCCATGGGCTTGGGCTATTTATTCTTGATATATTAAAGTTTAAGAAATACATTCTTTCTTTTTGCTGTCTTTAATTAATATGCACACAAACAAAGCAAAGAGCACCTTACCTGGTGGAGTTTTGCCCCCTGTTCTCTATTTTCATTAAAATTTGTACATCTGACTGAGGAGACATTGTATATATCTTTAATCTGAAAAAAAACAATATGCAACAGAAATGAAGAAACGATGTGCTTCAGACTCTTCCTCCTATCATCTGTAAGAGATGAGAATGTTTTACATATCAACAAGCGAAAGCATTTTTTTATTAAAAAAGCTCATTTTCCACATCTTAAATACCTTCTAAAAATTAGGGCTGTAATTACTGGTATGTTTTTCTAACTCCTCCAAACAAAAGGATTACTGTTACCTCCACTGGGCTGAATTATGCTACGTTTCTTAGAATTAGAGTTGCTTTATTTGATTTTTATGTTATAAATCTTCATTATCTTTTCCTGGTTTAAATGTGGAGGCTATATTCCAGGGTTACTTGGTTGGTGAAAGTTGGGATGGTTTTCATCACAACAACTAAAGCTGTAGAGCTGACAGGGACCTCAGTCCTCCATGTCTGAAGTGCAGCAAGGTTAAGCAATCTGTTCAGAACCACTCCTGCCTTTTATTAGCAAAGCATATGGACAAGGCAGAAAGGAATTCAATACGCACCTTTGACAAACTACTGGATCTGACTCCACTGGATCAATGTAGGGCTTCAGGATATCAGTGAGTGTTTTATCCTCTGGCACTCTTCCCCAGAGATAAAAATCAAATACGTAAGACATGGTTCATCATGCACACAGAACTCTATTATCTGAGTCATTTAGAGAAAGCTGGACGTTTGCACGCTACTGTGGTACATCTGAATACTTCATGGGTGAATTATAAACGTGGATCAATACAGCCCAGGTAATTGACAATTCCATATCAATTTCAACACTAAGACTTCATTGGCATCTGCAGGGAGTAAACAGATGAGTATCTCCAGTTCCAAACCCTGCAGCATAACATGCTGTCTGTACAGACCTAAAAGTAGATACTGGCAAATTTCATATCCACCTTTAGACTACGAAAAAAGGAGAGAAACATTTGTCCATAAAAGCTGAATTTTTGGCTTTTACAAAATGCACTTGCAGGCTTTCCTACAAAGTAAACAATGACAAAATTTCATTGTGTGTGCAGGTCAGCTCCAGCACGCAGGCAAAGAGGGAATGGAAATCTTGCAGCACTTCTGCCCCATGAGAGCAGAACACATTAGCTGAGAGGATATTGCCACTGTAAACATACAAGCTTCTTGTTCACTGCCAAGAAGGAGTAGCAATCAAATATTTCCTTTGATTTGACAACCTCTCTAGCCTTCAAAGAAGAAAGTACTGCACAACTTTAAATACATTTTAAATTTGAATGCCCTTTTAGTTAAGACATAAAATAATATTCGAGTTTACCTCATATAGCAGAAACAGTTAAGAATGGATCAAAATATTTCCCATTTGAATTCCAATAGAGTAATTTCCAAAAATCCATTTTTCAAACTCTGTACCTTTTTAAAGCGTATTCAGCATTACAGTGAAGAAATACAAGCTTCAAATGCCAGTAGAACTTCTGCTCCCTGAAAAGAAGAAACGCAGATTCTTAACGCCTCACTAGTTAGCTGGTAGCTGTTACTTGTCTTTCCACTGCACAACCTAAACAGAAGATGTGTCAGCAGCAGGGAGGGAAGCTGCCTTTCAGTATAACAGTGAAAACACACGTTGGAAAGAATAAATGTAGTACAAAACTAACAGGAAGCTTCTGTAAGAGACAAAAGTTGATGTTGCATTCTGTTCTCCTGCTCATTTGTTGGCAAACCATCCTGCCTGCAAAGCTAGCATAATTAGTATCTGAGAACAGAAACTGCTGGAGCATGGTTTCAGTGCAGTATGGCATCAGGAAAGGCAGAACTGCCTAGAGGGCAGCGCTCTAGATCAAGAATCTGCTGAAGGCAACAGTGACTTCAGGGAAACAATTTTTCCTTTTATTGCTTCAAATTCTCCCATCCTGTACAATGAGTGTAACAATCTTTTTCTAAGTGGAATCTCATAAGAAAAAGCACAGACTGAAAGATAGGTTTATGGCCCTCTCCTCTGGTTTAGAATTTCACACTTGAGACAAACAGTAAAGATTTAGAAAACAGATGCCAGGTATCTATCTGAAGCACAGGAACTTGAAATGGTACTTTTAAATTTTATTTTATTTTTACTACTTAAGACCCATGAATCCTTATATCTAAGATAATCAGCAACAGTTATGCAAAGATTCTGTTACTGCTACAATTAAAAATAAACATACTGTTGCTCGAACATGCTGTTTAATTTGCTTATCAGGCAGATGGAACTATCCAGCAGGATCTAGCTGCCTGCAGAGACAAGCACACGTGCAATCAAGTAAAAAAGCAGTAAACAAGTTAGTTGCTAAGCTCAATTAACTATCATATCAATTTTTAGATGCAGGCACTTTATAAAGCACACTTACCAAATACATAATTATTGACTTAAGATACGCCTAGGGGAAAGCTAAGCTTCACAGCTGAGCTACACTTCTCATAGTCCAAGTACAATCACAGGTATTATCTTTTATCTTCACCTCCCACAAAAAAGATGCAAGAACCCTCCAAGGAGCTAATAATTTATAGATTAGAATAAACTGAACTACAGGTGGCTAAGATCCACAAAGCAACATGTGACTCAGTAGAGCTGTATGTGCCTCGTGATTTTTGCCCTGTATCTGCTCATGCTTGTAAAAACTGAGAATGAAGGATCCCTCTTTAGATGAAGAGGGATCAGGTCTGAAACAGGTAAGAAAATGGTATGACCAGAGCTGGACAGTAAGAGATAAAACATTATTAATTACACTGCATACACAATGTATAGCTGACGTCTTGCCTTGTGGATTTTCATGCAATTTTGCATATTGCTATGACACAGTCTTAAATTACTGAACTGAAAAAGAAACAAGTCAAAATCAGTGAGTATACTGGAATTTGAAAGTTTTTTTGCAAGGTGATTGAAACAAAGTTTTCCAGTTCCTCATCTTAACTACTGAAAGAAGCATCAGATGAGGCCTTTATAAACACACTAACAACTAACCTTTCTAGGATTTTTTTCCATTTAATTCACCACTAATATGTTCTACCAGACCATACACATCTATTCCAAGTGACCGACACTTACTGTGATGTGGACTCTCTTTCTGCCAAACCTTTGAATCGAGACCTCCGAAGTAAGATACTGCCAGATACTTCCCCCCAAAAGCAGAAACAGCAAGGTGTGATGATGATGACAGAAGCATGTACGTGGTCTACAGGACTGTTTCTAACACAGACACTTCAGTGAGAAATGTTCCAGAAATACTTCTAGCTATCTGCTACCTGTTAGGAACAGTCTGTGTCCACAGAAACTGTGGTCACACACCACATTCTGACTTCACATGCAAGACCAGCTTGCTGTGGGCTCACTGAGGCAGACTCAGTTCATCATGCAGCTGTATAATCAGCTTAAGAGGGATCTTTTCAGACTTTCACCCTCCCTCCCCCTTCCAGGCATAATCTAGTCTTTGGATTAGTGAACAGTAAGAGCTATGAATCAGGAAGACTGAACATTAAATTTAAAAACATCAGGAAGTTCCACTTTTGTCAGAAAGTTCCACTTTAGAAAAACAGAAACGTTGATATTTTTCAGCATGCTAAAAGGTAAACCAAGGTGAATTAATCTCTCTTCAAAATACACTTGCCTAAAAGCAAATGACAAGCAGAAAGAGGTAAAAGCTGGGTAAGAAAAAGGCAAGGAAGGAAGAAGGTTAGAACTGGAATAGCCTTACGCACTTTGCTGACAAGCGAAGTATAGAAAAGCAGTAATACTTTGCACAAATTTCCATAAGTAGATTGGTAACAATCTCCTGGATGTCCATTAGTAAAGGGAAGCATCCCTCACCATCATTGATTCCTGCCCAATACAAAAACTTGATGTCAACTCTAGATGCTATCAAAGCTGCTTCACAACAAGTTCAGATTTAAGTTAGATACCCTGGCTCCAAATCTCACTGACTTCATTTTCCATTATGGCTCACTGGGGTAGTATTTCCTTCAAGTGTAACTGACATGTATTATGTTCATTGTCTAAATGAAAAATGCTTAATTGAGTAAGTCATCCTGAGTTGAGTAACAGCTCACACTGCTTGAAGTGTTCAACGCTGCTCGGCTGCCATGGAACGTCAGTCCAAGGTTTGCTTGAATACCAAGGTCCTGACTATAAAGTTATCAAACAGCACAGATCTGGATGAGGCACAGCACATCCTTGATGTCAGTAAAAACAGCATCACTGCCCATCCCCACATTGCTTGGCTTCAAATCCAATTCTGGCTAATTCAGAAGCACAGAAACTGATCAGAGAAAAAAGGAGAAGCTAAGGAACCTCTCCCCCTGCATTAGATGTAGCTGCAAATGGTACTTAGAACTGCACAGGCTGTTCTGCCATTACTGTTCTATGCTAGAGTAACTGTTTCCCTTTCATTTTTTCCTAAAACTTCCAAATAATTACTTTCTGTAATCAATATAATTTTTCCTCCCTAGTTTTCTTTCAAAGAACAACACATAAGTGATTTTTAAATTCATGACAGCTGAAACAGGTTTTTATTGCTGATACTACAAGACAGCACTGATAAATGTGACTGTTACCTCCAGCTAGATCTTGACACAGCTATAAAGATTTTCTTCACTGGTTTTACAGTTAATGCAGTACCCTGCTAGACACTTCAAGTACAAGTGGGTGTATGCAGTATAGGTGCTGGCAATTAAAGGACAGATCTAGGATCTGTCTAGGATCCTACAGAAGATTTTGGGACCGACATAAGTGCCTTAGTGGATTTTTAAAAGTGTTTTTGAACTGATAGAAGAGATAAAAAGGAAATAGTGACCTTATCCTTAAACTATCCTTAAATTTCACAATACTCAGTACTCTCACCATGTGCATTGAGGTTTAATTGAAACATGTGGTACTCAGTATCTACTCCTTTGGATAATGTCACCTTTCACAACTTACTTAAGCAATGAAGATTTAGTCCAAGTAAGTGACTAGATTCTCTTGTGGAATCCAAACAAACGTTAACAGAAGATATCACACAGAAGCATGACGGTTTCCTTCTTCCCCCATCAACTTCGTATTCCTTGCCAAAATTAGTTCTGCTCTACTCTGAACAACAGCACACTAAAAGGGACATCTCCATTTTGTAGGAGCTTCGTTAAATGAATTTCTGGACTTGATGTATAAACAATAAATATTTCTACTGCAACACTTCTACTGAAAGTTCAAGTGTTTCCTAGTTACGGTAAACAACAAGACAGTCAATGAAGAAGATGAAGAACAATTCCACTGCAGCACATGGTCTTCTGTCAAAGGACCTCCCAGCAGCAAGAGATGTTGTTACTGAACACATGTGTGGAACAGGCAAACACCACACCAACTTGAGCTGAGAGTCCCGTGTGAATCAGAAGGAGACTCGTAAGAAGCCAAACTCTAATCACCTTTAACAAATAAAACCACTGTCCTCTCCACTTCTATAAATAAACAAAATGACCATCAGATCCACTATGGAAAGAAAACAACTACTAAAAATCTCAGCTACAGAACTCAGTAATTACTTATTTTCACATGGGGATGGTCTGAAAAACTACCAACAGACTGAAATGCACCAAGGTCATGCTTTCTGCTCATTTCAGATCAGCACTTCTTTGCTTGTGAGGTCACTTTGGAAAGCAAGCAGAACTATGCACTAAATGACAGCTGAATTCAAGGTTAACAGCTCCAGCAGAGTAATACGATCCCCTAAACCAGCCCATATAACTCCTTGGTAAATTCTTAACATCAGCAACACTTGAAAAAATTCATTCTATTTATCTTTACCTAGTTCCAGACTAAAGACTGACATTTTAGTCTTTTCACATGCACCTCAGAGTAGCTTTTACAGCACTGATGATCACTTAACTGCTGCTAATCTCAAGGCTCCATACTACACTGTACTCATACTAGTAAGATGTCCTAAGCCATCTGCAAGCCAGATAACATTTCACAAACTGGACTCAAACTCCATTTTCTAAAGATCCTCTATTATCTGCATTGTTTGAGATTACAAGTTAGTCTAACCCATGTTACCTAGCACTGGCACATATGCTTTCATAACACTGAATTTCGCAAACCAACTAATGGAAGCTAGGAAACGAGAAGTGGTTAACACATCTTAACAACCACAGACTTGCCCTGCAGAACTGGCAGGGGCAAGGGACAACACTGGAACACACCTTGCACCTCCTCATTTTGGATGGCTCTCCTCCCTGCCTCAAACAGCCGAGCAGCTTGGCTCAAGTAGAGAATATGAAGGAGACATCTGAACAGGCACAAAGCCTCCCACGTACCTATGTGGAGCTGCCTCCAATCTCCATGCTATGTAGCAACCTTTCCCCAAATCCTGGCAGACACAAAGCATAAGTGGGGGCTCAGATCTACTGAACACAGACACCAGACCCTGGCAACCACCAGATGCTAACCTCACAGAGAGCAACTATTAGCATAGCTTTTCCCATTAGACTGTAGTATTCAACAAAGTTATGTGTCATATCTTGAAGTCACATGGCACAGGTGTTAAATGGCTGATGGATGCTTGATTCAATCACACCTTTGGTTTGATTTCTCAGTCCCCCACATATGGATTAGGCACAACATGCCTACTACAAAAAACAAAATAGTTCTTAACCTACATCACTGAATTCAAACCATTCATGCCCACTGCTACACAAAAAAACAGTAGTAGTAGAAGGAACATCATCCTTGCAGTAATCCCAGAGCATATCCTGTACCTCAGGATAGCATTTGCAGACATTTCCTTCCTACCCTTTTAAGCGCAGATGACAATATAGTGCTCCTCTGTCTCAGAACAGAATAGGTGATAGGAGCAAATGACCAGGGGGTGCCAAGAAGCTCAGGTTGTTGTCTGTCCGAGAGGGACACCTGGTGGCTGGTCCCCACTGGGGCACCTCCCCAATCTACAGGTCACTGTTGTAAAGCAACAGAATAGAGGGAAAAATTCCTATGGAAAGCAGAACTTGCCACCAAAACTAAGAATGCAAAAAAACCCAACAGAATCTGGATCTGGTACATTTGATTACTACAAAAAGCAAATAAGGTGGTTTTTTTTTGTTTTTTTTTCCCCTCCTTGTATTTTAAAGTATTTTCACAGTAAAAAGTCCGAGTATCAGAGAAAATCCACAAGAGTGGATAAAGGAAAGAATACCTGAAGCCTTTTCTTAGTTTTTCCTCCTACACAAACTCCAGCATATGCCAGGCCTACAAAGGCTGCAACAGAAGTAAATGGATGAGGAATGACTCATCTCCGACTTCAAGGCAGCTTTCTTCAGGGTCAGGAATCTTTCACAATCATTTTATATCACTTCTCTGTCACAAACCTTTAAATATAAGGTCTCTTCTAACAGCAAAGCCTCAAAAAACCTTCACAATGTCATTTAATAAATGAAATATGCAGCAGCACTGATTCATCCTCCTCCTCATGTTGGCAGCTTTCAAAATAAAGCATGAACTGCGTAAGTTATTAAAATGAACTCAAACAGCCTGAAGGACAAGAACTGCAGTAGCAAATACTAAATCTAACTAGTTTTTGTAGAAAAGCTGTACATCTAATAGATTTTGAAAGCGAGAATGTCAGTATGAATTTACATTCACATCATTATGTGTTCAGTAAAAGCAAAATATCATTGCCTGGTAGCCAAATGGAGACTCACTTCTTATTGAAGATAGTTGAATTTTCTCTTCTTTTTGTGAATCCAATGGGCAGTGTCTTCAGATTGATATTATGCCTCCGAGCTCTGTTTCTCAAGTAATTGATCTATAAAAAGTAAAAAAGATCCATATATTTTTTAATCTGAATGATGTTATTTGAATTATAAGAAAATTATACAAAGAACAGCCATGCGTGGAATATTTTAAGAATGTGCATGATGCTAGCAATTTATTCTTCCATGCAATTGGATGTAGCCATCAATACTGCTACTAAATAAGCCCTGAGACTTCTCCAAAACTTGGGGCTGTTCACACCTACACAGTGAAGACCTCAGTCCCGAAACCCAGCCTGGCAGTGCCTCAGTAGGAACTCTAGGGCAGCAAATCCATGCCCAGCAGTCACACTGCTCACGTGGAACTTACGAATTTATTTGTTGTTGGTCGATGCACAGACAGATCTCGAGCAGCAGCATCAGCCGCTCTTCCCACATCTTCCAGGAACCGATAATCTGAAGGTGAAAAAAAAACACAACACAGAATAGAAAAAAATAATGTAGTGCTGAACTATTAGAAATGACGGATTTTGAGAAGTACCTGGAATGTTCTTACCGCTCAGAAGGTTCAAGTCAGTAAATTCAGTCACGGAGACAAATGCAGTTTTGTCCCTGACTCCGTTACAGCTCAGGGCAAGCTTGTGCTTCTTCACGCACAACAGGCTGAAACGACAAAAACACACATTAGTGTCACACTCAACAGAAGAGCAGACAAAATCTGCTCAATTCACATAACAGATACCTGCACGAATACTTCATGCATCGCGGACACCGGTACTTGGCCTCCTCTTCGCCACACGTCTCACATCTGAAAGAAGCAGAAAGCAGCTCTCTGAGCAGGGCCGGGGAGCAGCTGCACGTGACAGCGGCCTTCAGAGGGAAAGCCCCACTGCTGGTGGCAGCCCGGCCGGCATGCACAGCGCGGAGCTGGACACACAGCAAGGCTGCGTCCGTGCCTGCTCCACAGCCAGCTCACCAGAGCCTCTCTGCACCTATATTTTCATACAGTGCATCGTTATTTCTCTCAAGACCTGAGATTTGCACCGCCCCCTGAACGCCGCATTCCATGCCCACTTCGGGTCAGAAGTACCACGCGAGGGTTTGGCCAGCGACGAACCGCGCGGGCCGGGACCCTGCGGGCACGAAGCACCGCCGACGGCCGTCAGCTCTCCGCCCCGCCCGGCGGTGTTGGGCGGCGGCGCCCCCTACTGGCGGGGCGGAACGCTGCACCGCTCGGCCCGAGCGCCGCGAGACGGTTGTCCGTACACCGCGAAATCAAACCAGAAACGGGTTCGCCTCTTTGCTACACCCCGCGCCGCGCAAGGAAAGCCGACGCCGCTCCCAGAGGCCACCCCCCGTTTCCAGACCCATCCCGCACACAGACGAAACGAGCCGCCGCACGTGGCACGCTCGACCCACACCGAGGAGCGCGGGCCGCAGCCTCGCGCTTCGGCGGCCCCGCTTTCCCAAATCCCAGCGGAGGCGCCCCCCGGGCCGGGCCGCAACCTGCGGAGCGCCCTGCGGGCCGCGTTTCCACACCCCGCCCGCGCCCGCACCTCTGCAGGGCCATCTTCCGCCCGCCGGCCGCACGCTGCGAGCTCTCGCCGCCGCCCTGCCCCGCCATGGCTGCGCCGCACCGCCCCCACGCGCCGCCCGACGCGGCTGGCACGGGGCGGGCCCGACCGCGGCGTTTCCTGGGCGGCGGCGCCCCCTGGCGGCACACCGCTCTCCCTCCTGCTCTGCGGAGCCGGGCCGTACCTCCTTCCCCTTTCCAGCCCCGCTTCCCCCTGCTTTGGTTGCAGGTTTCTAACCACAAAGAACAACGGTGAAGGAAAGAGATGAAAGGGTTCTGCTGCTTCTGGCGCCGAGGCACAGTGCTGCCTGTGTGTGTCCCAGCCCCAACTTATCATGCTGTCTGCGTGGCAGTTGCTTTTTTATCATAACTGCAATAATACTTTAAGCTGCTCGTTTTTAAAATTGTTTTGTTTTGTTTTCTCTTAAAAGCTGTCTAACAAAAAACCATAAACATGGGCTATAAAGAATTTCCAAAAGAAAGGTTTCCAAAAGAAAGGCCACGGGACTGAAAAACACCCGTGAAGCAGAGCACTTTCTAAGAGATGACATTCTTAGAAATAAATAAATCAATAAACCCATTTATCACAATGCCAGCTCCAGAGCCAAACTAAGAGCAAACATCAGTGGTGCTGTCAGAGAGTAACAACCATGAGAACGTGAAAAACAACAGAGAAAGAAACATTCTCTGAGCTTGTACCATTCTGTAATCTTCATTTGTCTTTGGTCAGATTTCTTCAATGGGGGAAAAACCTGATGGTCTAACAGAAAACACAGGGCATGTATCTACCTTACTGTGTAGAACTGACTACTGTCACTCTTGCAATACTCCATGGCACAACAACTGCTTGTCTGCCCTTGGTAAATGAAGCATGGCCACCTGAGAAGTACCTTTCCTCATTGCTGAGAATGAACTACACAGCACGAGACAGAATAATAAAGACAAAGTGGTAGTGTGGAATCTTATTTTATTATATTTTCAGTATGATTTCCTATGGGTCAAGTCAGTTAAACAAGTTGTTTGAATGCTTCTCAGTCCCCAGTGTGGTTTGGCACCATCTTCATGAATTACTCAGCAGGTTTTTGATTGGTAATATGTTGAGGGATATCTTTATAAAGAGTGTTTTTCTTAATTGTGAAATTGTTTTGTTTGTTTTAAACAAAAGAAGATGGTTGAGCATTTTAGGTTTAATTTAAGGAAACTGAAGTGATCTAATAATATTACAAAAAAATGACGACTAAGTGGATGAAATGCTGATTATAACTTAACAGCCCGCTTTCAAAAGACATGCTGTAGGAGATTTAATGAGTTACAAATATATACACAGTATATCATCTTAAGATGCCTTTGTCATTCAAAAAAAGTTAACTGAAAAAACTGAAAACTACTGTAGGTAGCTCTTCTACAACGGGCTGTTGTTTTCAATGGCTGTAAAGCTAACTGTTTTGACTATATGTATTATATACAACGTGCTGTCTCATATGCCATTTCCACAACAGTACGCAAAAATATTTTAAACAAGAAATCCACATAAATAATGGTTTAGTTGTAGTGAAACATGTGACCAATGATTTAAAATAAGTACCTTGATAACAGAGACAGATCCTGATGTAACCGGCACATACAGTCTGAAAGATAAAAATGGACTCACATAATCTCTGTTAAGGCCACCAGCACCTTGTGTTACAAAGAGCACCAAGGCAACACAGACAGGGAACATGTAAGAGGTAGTGTGTCATCTGTTAAGATGTGTGTGTCCACAAAGGACTGCTATAGAACCGAGAAAAAGACGACTTATTGTATTGTGGCATAGTTCACTTTTCAGATATAGCTATTGCACATTTAGGAGCATTAGCCAGTATTGCTCCATGGTATTGTATGTCTCCAGCTTTCCTCAGAGTGTTCTTTTGCAGTGCTGTCATACAAATTGTCAAGAACACCAGAGGTCCTGAAAAATTCCATGCTCAGATATTCAGTTCCAGGAAATTATGCAAGAAAGCACCAACCAGTATTAAAAAGAGATTTAAATACTTTAGGAAAATTGTAGTCTTTTCTTTCTTTTCTTTGTTTTTAAATGCCATTTCTCCTTCTTCCTGAGGTTCTTTAACCAGCAGTGTTTAAAGCGATTCTTCAGTTTGAGAGCAATTTTGCCTCATTCATTACTCTCACACTTACTCCGCAGCAGTCCTGCACTGATGCAAAGGAACCAGGACACAAAACTCAAAGGAAGCACACCAAGCCACTTTCTATGAAGTGCTGCTGTCCTGGTTTGAGATGAGGAAGCGTATGAACTTGAACAACCGGAAGCTGATTGGTGTCCTGAGTGTGAAAAAAGAACTGTGTCTTGTGCCAGCTGCCATCCTGAATCTGCAACACACAGAGGAGGAATATTAAATTCACATCAAAAATGAGATTCAGAACACAAATGGAGGCTGTGCTTAAAGGGTGAGAGAAGTGTAAGTAAGCATTTTTTCTTCCAGCAGCTTGTAAAGAAATCGAGTAACTCAACAAATGCCATTTCTTCCATGCAGTATCACAATGCTAAAAAGCACTTACCATGCATTCATCCACAAGCACCTTCGGTTCAAGTAGTGAATTGGCTTTAAACACTTGTCCATTCCAACCTTTGAAGCTAAGAGATGTCTTCTGGCCTCCTGCCTCACTTAATCCCCACATCGGTGTGTTCAGACAGTGAACTGTGATGCTGTGTGTTGCTTCTGAGCTCAGTAAATGAAGAAAGTTCATCTGCACTTTTCCAATGCCAAACTCCAGCTAAGTTCCAAAAGAAATTTGCTGTTATACTTAACACACTGAATGGTCACAGCAACACCAAATGGCATGCACAGGTGGGTGCACTGTTTATACATGGGAGCATGCATGAATGTTTACGCACTGGGATCGGTGCTGAAAAGCATGATTTGTATTCTTTAGGAGAGCAATTCGGTTCTATTATAGTGATTACTTCAAACAGAAACTTTCTAGGTCATTTTCAAAGCTTAAAAGAAACATTTACTAATGCCCACGAGTGCTGTTGGAACATAGCTGGGCAGAGAACATGATTTTTAAAATCAGGAAAGTGAAGCAAAGGATCCTGTGATTCAAACAAAGCTAACAGCGGTAGCAGTGTTTTAATTGCAATTGCACCATTCTGCTAATTAGTCTTAGAGCATAGATTCTGCCTGTCAATATCTACCTTCTGTTAATAGACTGAAAATCATAAGCATGGTTTGATTTTAGACAGAAAATTCAGCTGCACATTACTCAACAAGAATTTCTCCAAGAGTAGGCCATGTTCAGGGTCCTTACTAATGCAGGAATGCATATGTGAGTTATTTCTGATGTTCTTTGGTGGCTAAACTGTATATGCAGACCACCATATATATGACATCTTCACTACTCACAGTGGTTTAATGACTATGTGTACTGAGGAGCACAGACTAATGACATAAAAGAAAGCAACCTTTACCTAACAAGGCATTCAGCAGTAGCCAGGTGTTGAAAAGTAGTGACAAATACACCCTTGGCTGCCCTCAGAGATGAGTTACTAATGAGTAACATAGCAGCATTTCAGGCTTATTTCTATGGCTTGTTTAGAAAGGTATAAAGCCAAATGAAAGGATGTCGTGTGCGTGGAAGATGAGTAAATGGAGAAAGTGACAGTCACAGTAACATATACTGTCTCTAGATGTTCTGTAACTTCCTGATCAGAACATATGAAGCATCCTTCCCAAAGCTGCACACAACACCCTCGCTCCCCTATTCCCCCGAAATCTCACAACTCTCTTGAGGTCAGTAAATAAGCAGCTACTTGTTCAAAGCTCTGCTGCAGAATGACTCCCTCAGGACACCATGCATACCTTTGTCACAGATGGTGGTGTTAAACATGTCTGACCACCCGCAGTGAAGTTGCAGAAAACTTCAATGGCATCAGAAGGACAGCCAATGTTGGGGTCAATCCAGTACTTTCCTATTAGTGTAGAATCCCAGAGAGAAAATGAAATCAAAATATAATCATTACTAAGCAGTTTACTAAAATATTCACAATTCTTGGCAAGTATTAAATTTGTTATTACCATAGCTTCACTGGGAAATGGATGAAAGGCAACATGGAAGTCTTTCCACTTCCATAATTCTATTAACAACGGATGCTGAGCAAGTCTATTAGCTGCTCAGAAAGTAAGTCATGTCACGGTATTGACATTACACATTCAAATAACTATTTTAGTTTGAACTATTAATTTGACACCTGCTAAAATATCAGCTGCTGCCAGTTTATCTGATTGTGGTGGGCTGTGGTACACAATTTTCTTATTAGCAATCTAGAATCTGATCCACACAAAAATCATTTCTAACTGACGATAAATATTTGGGAAGCTTTTGATCACAAAATGGAATTCAGTTTGAAAATTTCTGGCCACATCTTTACTTCTATATATCATCTCTGATATCTTTTTAATACTAGCTAGCTACATATGTTAGAATCCAGAAATTTTATCATACATAAAAGATAAACTAAAGATAGCTGTGACAAACTACAACAGAATCTAATAAAGACAAATCTGTACACTAGAATAAGGACATAGGAAGTGTCACTTGGAAGCAACCAGCTCAGAGCCGTGCCATGCTGAAGCTCTGAGGAAAGCAGACACTTACCGTCGGACACTTTGCGCTCACAGCTGAGCAAGTCCCTGCAGATGCGTGCTGGGTTATCCCGTGTGCCAAGGGGGTTCTTGATGCTGTGCAGTAAATTGCTAAGGTAGTGCAGTGTTTTGTATATCTCTGTACTGTGATCCAGTAAAGTTACTTCAGTATTCTGGTATCTCTGCCAGAGGCCGTTAGCAAATGTGTTACCATGGAGAAGAAAGACGACAGCAGTACATGCAGTAAACATCCAATGGCCATTGAAGAGCCAGACAGAAACATTTATAATACATGCAATCAGCCATATGAAACAGGTTGGGAATAACACATCCCAACAAAAAAAATTAGTACATTTCATTGAAATTATCAGAGCCAGTGAAGTTACAGACAGTAACAGTTTAAGAACAGTTAAGTACAGTTAC